TCTCTCTCTCTCTCTCTCTCTCTCTCTCTCTCTCTCTCTCTCTCTCTCTCTCTCTCTCTCTTTTTCGTGATCATAATACATTTTCGTATTAATTCATTCTCGTAAATCACGAGATACGATAGTATTAATTCTCTGAATGAGGTAATTTCCGCTCTTTTTATTTCCGCGATTAAAAGTAGTCATTAAAAAATAATTGATTACTACCGTTTTTTTATTTTATTCTTTAAAAATTACGCCAAAAGAATCACTTTAAACAGTTTTGAAATATCTACTTGTGATATATCGCGATTTTATTTATTTTTCTAAATCTGAATCAGTGGATAATCACTGATTATTATTATTAGTCACTGGTAATCAATTCACAATGAAATTCAACTAAAATCTTAATCCCTTAAATGTGGAAATCCCTAATCCAGCTAATTCTGCTTTATGCATTCAGTGTATGTATATGATATTGGAATTGAGAGCAAATATCGATATTTTAATTATATAACACTCAAACGCTCAAATGCTTCCTTTCTTTTCAACTTTTCTCTTTTTGAATCACTAATTACGCAGTGGCATATCACTAATTCAAGTTTAGATTACAAACATATCCATTACAGTATTGAATTAAGATTAACAATGGATTAATTCTTTGTCTATAACAATAATCAATCAAAATAGTATATATTTCAATTTATAATATTATAGATTTTAGAATATGTGCTAGTTACAGAAATAACAATAAACTAATACTGGAAATATGATCATGCTATATATGATTATAATTATCATAGATTAAGCTTCATTAAATGACGTACATATAATTAATAATAACATATTTGATAATAATGTTTCTTAAGTAAAAAAAATTTAATTAAACAATTAAATTAAACAATTAAACAATTTGATTCAAGAAAATGTATTAAATTTGACTCAAAAAGTTTATTATTTACTATATATATAAGTGTATACATTTAGTGTGGACGTTATTTACTTTGAAATTATCCACAAAAATAATTAACTTAAATAATTAACTTAAATAATTAACTTAAATTTTGATACACATGGAAGTTAAAAATAACAAAATGTTACTTTTAACTCAAGAAATTAGGTTATCATTGCTTTTTAGATATCTAACAGTTTAGATATCTAACAGTGTATGGTTACTAATTCATCAGAAACCCATGCAAATTCATAGAAACTGCCAGTAACATTAAAATCTAAAGGATTAAAGCGAAACGAATATTGGGCCTAGCGCGGTCCGTTATGTCATAAATTTCACACCGGACATCGTGTACACACGGATATATTAAAAGACAGTTCGACGCCGTAAGCTAAGGGGATGGATACCATCGGCCGATCCACGAACAAGGGATGAGCGATACGACGATACGAGGGAATGCAACGCGCCGAGAGCCGGACGCAAAGCGGTTTGCATTTTTCATGCCGGAGCCGCCCCGGCAGTTATTGAAAATATTTACATGTTATTTATGGGGCACACATGCTTCAAGAACCAAACGCGCCACCGAGCTATCCCCGTCAATCCTCCCCGCGTGTTTCCTCTCCTCGTCCACCTTTCGCACGCAAACCCCTTCTTTTCCGCCTCTTTTCCTTCGACTGCCTCCCTTTTTCTGTTTCGCCGTTCCCTGCGGAACGTCGTATTCCCGTCGCTCCCCCCACACATACACACACACACACACACACACACACATTCCCTCAACTCCTTCATCCGCTCCCGAGAAGCAACCGCTCCCGAACCTGCCGGCAACGTCTCGAGAATTCTACAAAACGTTTCACGCCTCTCTTACTGCTTCCGCTTTCTTCCCACCGACGAAACAACGAATACTCGTATGGATTGAATTTTTGATGGAACCGACCCCTCCGAGCCTTCGACCCACCCTCTTCAACCATTCCGCTTTCCGTGCGTCGTCGCTTTCTTTCGTCTGCTTTCATCCGCGATGTACGGTGATTCTGATGCGTCGAGTGCGAGCTGCATGAAAGTATCGCGACAACTTCCTCTTATATCGATTTCTTCGAGTACGCGATATCTTGAATCAAGTCAATGACGAAAAAGGTGCATACTTAAGAAAAGTAAAGAGACCGGCGGCAACAATATGTACATTTGCGTACGCGAAATCGGAAGGTAGTCGATTGTTATTCCGCATCGGTGACATTCGAAAAGGGCACAATACAATGTTTCGTGTTTCCACATGGCATTGGAAAAAAGCTAGTTTCACTCCCTCGTTCATTTTATAACAGCGAATTGCACCAGCGGCCACAGTTATTGCAATATCGCTGTATCAATACACACGACACGTATACACGAATATACGAGATTGTTCTTCCTGCAAAAAATTTTGCCATTTACCCACCGTATTCTTCCGTAATTTTCTTAATTCTTAATATTAATTCCACAAATGTACAAATATTTCCTAATGAAATAAAATATGCAAATAATGAGATCATCATACATATACAAGATATCCTAGAATTTGCAAACAATTTTTTTATTGATTCTCTGAACCAATATAAAGTCGATTTTTCTTTGGCTACAATATTGAGAGCGATTGCAAGTTTTCAATATTTCCAATATTAAATACCTTTTAAATACTGTCGCGATTGGCTAAAAAATAGATGAAAGACACAATATACATATAATACACGGTTCATAGCGGTTCATAGCGTTCACGATGCCATCCGGCATCGTACATACATCACATAGTGAACTTGCGATTTGCTCATGTGGCTACGACAACTATATACGTATCGAATTTTGGAAGGTTTTTCACAGTACGCACGGCCGAAGCGACAATCGCGGCAAACGAACGGCCGCTGAATCGGCAGTCGTCCAATCAGCATTAAAACGCCAAACAACACGAGCGAGAACACCACGGGCAGTTCGCATTTGCATACAACGAAACGAGAGTTCGTCCGGACCTTCTCTCTCTCTCTTTCTCTCTCTCTCTCTCTCTCTCTCTCTCTCTCTCTCTCTTTCTCTCTCTCTCTCTCTCGCACTCTCTTTTACAACAGCGCATTTATGACGATGTGCGCGCAATGTACCGAAATCATGAACAACGACATCGGAAAGCCACGCGAATAATTCATTTTTTTTCCATCGAGCATCACCGGAATTTCATTAGAATTTATAGGTTCACTAATAATCATTGGAAAATTATTAATTGAATCATTAATTGGATCAATCATGTATAGTAATAGTAAAGGAAGCAGAGACTTATTGGCACAAGAGGCAAGTTAATATTGTGTTCCGCGTTTATGTATTTATCGCAGAAGGAATAATGGAAAATTATTGAAAAATATCTCTTTTATATCATAGATAGCTTTCTTCAATTTTTATTTCAATTAAATAAGTATTATTGGGTTGTCCGGAAAGTTGGTGCCGACTAACTTATATAATTTAATAAATGTATACTAAAATTTAAATTTTCTGCGTTTCAATTTTCCTTCAACATCGGCACGAATTTTCCGGACAACCCAATAAATACAATACAATAAAAAAAGAGATAAATCTGATTCAAGACAAGTAAATTTTTGAGTGTTTCATAATTTTATATTTATTAATGTTTTTTGAGAGACTAAATCTCAATGACGTAGTATTAATTCAGAAAAACAAAAAAGTTTTTGTTATTATACAATATATTATTTGAGTAATTTGTCATAATAAAACGATAAAAATCAAACATATGTAAAAATGGAATAGGTTGATTTATGTTCAAGCAAGTTACTTTGCCGTAAGAAATCAATATGTTAACACTCAATTTTAATTTAACTTTGATAAAATGCTTTGTATTTAATATTTCTATTGAAGTAAGCTACATCTAAAATAGTTTGCAAAAAATTTTATTTTGTGACAAAAATCTTACACTTAAAAAAATATATATATATTATACCATCTTTTTCTTTATAAGTACATATGTGCGATCTGTTTCTTTAATTTCTATTAAGTTTTAATTTAATATGAAGTTTATATAGGAACCTATATCGTCATATGTATCAATTTACTTCACTATCGGGGCAAGCTGGCCACACTGCAGTGTATTCATATTTTACTTACTACAAAGAAACTACACTGAGAAAAAGATACTTAAAAATTTATTTGTGAGGAGTATATTTATTTTACTGAAATAATTCTTAAATACGACAAAATAGAATTTCATTCTTAGCAAATAAATCATCTATTTTATTTTTTTGCAATTAATGAGATTTATTTAACAGAAATGTATATTTCGTAATTACAATTAAATTTTTTATAACTAATAAATATCGAAGGAAAATATTATAATTAACGTATATTTCGCAACATTTCGATATTTTTTCTCAATATATAATCTGTTATGTAGCAAAATTATACTTAAAATGTGTTTTTTGATCGTTCGTACAAATGTTTTATAATTCCATACAGATATTTTTATGTATTTTTATATGAAGTTATTTTATATAAAATTTTGTGTAGAAGGAAAATTTACAAAATGTTTGTTGCATTGATTCATTTATCTTCAAATACATTTTATTATTAAACAAAGCAAATTGTAATTCTTTTTTGTACTGAAAGATTAAAATCGTCGCACATTTTCCTGTGAAAATTTTACGGAATGTAATATTGTAAACACTGTTGAACACCGTTGGACTTAATTAAAAAAGAAAAATTAAACACATAGATTGCTTAGTAACGCTATTACGTGCAATCTTCATTCCGCAT